CGTTCGTCTGTGCGTCCGTGCGTCCGTGCATGAGTGCGTGCGTGCGTGCGTACGTGCGTACGTGCGTACGTGCGTACGTGCGTGCGTGCGTACGTGCGTGCGTGCGTACGTGCGTGCGTGCGTACGTGCGTGCGTGAGTGCGTGCGTGCGCGCGTGCGTGCGTGCGTGCGTGCGTGCGTGCGTGCACGAGTGTGTGTGTGCATGCGTGCTTGCGTGTGACCGTGCGTGCGTGCGTGCCTGCGAGAGTGCGTCCGTGCGTGCGTCCGTGCGTCCGTGCGTCCGTGCTTGCGTGAGTGCGTGCACGCGTGTTCTGTGCGTGCGTGCGTGCGTGCGCGCATTTAGTTGTAGTATATTTTTGCTAAAAAATAGGTTGTTAGAATATACTGACTTGAAGAGGAACTGAGTCATTTCACTGTCCCAGAATTGGTCACTGAAGTCCTGCTCCTGTACAGTGAGGCCTCGGGCTAGATCATCGAAAGCTTGACCCATTTCTAACAGTCGAGGTCTGTTGAACCAATCATTCATACGCACTTCACCCACCAGGTCACGCGTTTCTGAAATCAACCTGGAAAACAAATTTAATTTTCAGTACGTACAGATAATTATTATTGTTCATGTTATACCATGGATCAATAACTAAAGAGGACTTCTAATCTCCATACTGAAGAATTCTCCAAAATTCCATCTTAATATGCAATATAAATCGTCAAAGTAACTAGTTTTTTTTTCTTGTAATATTATAAAATACTGACTGTAAGCTTAAATTATTTTCCGAACTTTGACAACATTTCTCAGAGTACGTTGATACTTATACTTCTATGTGTGTCAATAGATGGCATTGCGTGTTACAAACTAATTTATAAATTAACATGGGTAGATGGCGCTAATCCTAAAGAAAATAAAAGAAGTGCAATAAGTGCCATCTAGTTGATTTGTTTGCTATCGTTAGAAATTAGATTGGCTTTGATAAGTTGTAGTTCATCAATTACTTACAATTTAGTTACAAAAATAGGTATTTGCTACTCATCGCAATATCTGATGTACCAATAGGTACTAAATACACTACTTCACTGTCTTGTACCGGTTAGCGTCCTCTTGAGCCATTGGTCCATGTTTATACTAAGGTTATTGTTATTCCCCTTAATAGCAGCCACTAGACTTAGTTTTACAGATTTACAATACAATTTTAGTCACTAATAAAAATTACTTAGACTTTTCATGCAAATCTGAAAACACTACGACACCAAATATATTCGATATTAAGGTTTATTTATTGAATATTACATAATATTTGTATATTTTTGTGAAAATACTCTATTAGTTTGTTATTAGTATTGATACAAAAAATCAAACACAAAGAAAAATTCCTTCGACCTTACAGTGTCTGTTGATAAGCCAGGGCCATAGCTCAGTTGGTTTAGAGTAGTGGTTAGAAGAGTCAGATCGAAATAAATTTTTCTGTGTAGTTTAATTGTTTAAAATTCGAATTTAATTTTATTTAATTTTTAATTACGTCCTTTTGTATATATTTTGTGTATAATTTGAAACAATGGACAATCGAGATTCTTTAAAATACTTATTTAAAATACTTCGATACGCTTATTCATTATTATATTACTATAACCCAGCGGGAAATTATGATATCAATGTGATGCATGATGACGATGTAAAAACCAGTGATCGAAATCGAGGAAGTTAATTTAGCTTAACTAAAGAATAATGTGGATATTCTCTTCCGCAAATTCCGGGACGGCTTGGAACTGATTATATTTTAATATACATATTACTTATTAAAATTTGAGTACTTTGGCGACAAATTATTATTTCCTATACAAATTGAGACAATGTTATGAGACTAATGTAATAGTCTCAAAAAAAAAATAGGCGCTTTGTCGTCGAGTTGCAGATACCAGCCCTTTGCACCAAGTACCAAGTAGTCTCAAAAAATAATATTTAGTGGCAGTAGAGCTCCTTGTGAAAGAGATCGTCCAGAGAGGTACTGCCACCTTATCTATTTCTGCCGCCAAGCAATAGTCTCAACGTTACTGTGTTCCGGTATTGAAGGGTAAAAGTGCTGGTGAAATTGCAGGCACATGGGGCTTGTCGACTTAATTATGTATCAAGGTGACGAGCGCAGTGCCCCTCAAATCTTTGCGATTTAAAGCTCTGAGTGGTACTGCAACTGCTATGGACAAGCGTGTAGCTTACCATCAGGCGCACGGCTTGTTCGTCACGTCACTTGATATTATAAAAACAAAAATATAATAAAAAAATGTACTTGTGTTTAAGCATTTAAAAAATAAACATGAAATAACCTATATTTTGGTGTGTTTAGAAAATAAACAGTTATGACAAAATGTGCATGTCCATACTAATAACACGTTAGTACTTTAAGTAACTAAACTCCCTCAATTCCGATCACTGGTAAAAACTTACTGCAAATATCCTCGGATCAAGGTGTGGAAATGTCGAAAAGCTGCAGTGGCATGTTCGTTCAAGACTGTGGGCTCAACGTTGGGGTCATAGTCATCGATATACCCGTCAGCCTCAGGGTAAATTAAGTTGTTCTCTATCATGTTATCCCACCCTGTTTATGAAGACATATTATAGCGTAGAGTTATTATTGTTCAATAAAAATGCCTATTAAACCTTGCTATCCAACCACAAGAATATTATTACTAATAATAATAACTATAATATTATGTTTATTTGACTTCAAATACAGACAACAATATGACAAAATTTCCAAAAACAACCTTACACTAAATGAACAATATATTTTTTAACATTATATAGACATTGCCAACGTGATGACATGCCTGAAAACATTGCGCATGGTTACAGTTGGTTTCACACTAGGCAGAGCCTATCCTGAGATGTGTGTGTGGACTGAGGGACCACATGGTTTTTGCCAGTTGTAATAACTGGAAGGTTTAGTACAAATTGTAAAGCATTTTGTAAAACGCGTCCTGGGGCCGTCAGTCGGCCGGGGTCAGGGACTCAGGTTCAAAAACCGGCGAACAATAAATGCCGTATCGAGCATGACTAGTGTTGCCCAAAGCAAGACCAAGACGAGATTAACCCCAGTCATGGTCTTGGTCTTGCGTCGGTAAACCTGGTATTGGTCTTGGTATTGCACACTCAGTCTTGATCTTGGTCTCGGTCTTGCTGCAAGAGTCTCGCAAGTCTTGCAAGTCTTGCAATTACCTATTGTTACTTATAACTCGTAAAAATGAAAATATACGGGTGCAGGTATCGTAATCCGCAGGTTTATCTACAATGAGGGTCTGGGGTAAAAATACAGCATAAAAACGAATCTTTTGCTTTATTAATTATTTATTTGAATGAAAATTATATTATTTCCTTCGACCAACTATTTATACAAAGTAACCATCTGGCTGACTCGTCACTTAACCTATTTCTATGTTTTCTAATAACTAAAGAGGCTTTAGAGAATAATCTCTCAGCAGGCACTGAAGTTGCCGGTATTGAAAGAAAATCCCGGGCCATCTTGGATGTAATCGGATACTCCGATTCATGCGTCTTCCACCACTGTAGGATGTCTTACGAACTTGCGGCCCTTGGTTTATCTAGATAATCCTCGAACTCATTGTTATTGAAGCGTTGAATACCAGATCCAGATGATGTAGAGGGGCATGCATACAATTTATTAAAATCGATTACGTCTTCGTCTTCATCATATTCACATACTTCATTGTCATGTCTTGGTAATCCTGGAGATCCAGGCACTGCGTGTAGGTTTTTATATTCCTTGTAAAGTTCTTCAAATTTACGCAGGCTTTCAGATTTTAGTTGTTGTCCCCATAGTGTCATATCGAAAGTCTGAGATTTGTGCCTTGGATCTAAAATTAAGGTGGTACAGTAAATCCAGTTGGTCATCCTATAATGCTTAAGCATTTTATTTTGGGCGGCTTGGAAACCCAAAATGAGCCTCTCATCTACTTCGGTTCGATTAGGTTTGTCGTCTAATTGTTTTATCATAGCTTCAATTTTATCAAGCAGAAGATTGAATGACACAATCACTAGCGGTAATGTTACATATTTTTCTCCACCAAGTTTCGTTGTTAGAAGTTTAAAGTTTATCAAAAACTTATATATTTTTTCCACCAATCTGATATTACAAAATTACTCAAATCAGATACAGAAGTGCATAATATGTTAATGCCAGGTTTTAGTTTTAAACATAATCCAATCATATCATGTGTGGAATTCCATCTTGTTGGACAGTCCAGTATGAAACTCAGATTTGTTGGCACACCAGCTGTTTCACAAGCCGACTGGAACTTCCTCTTCAACATCTCACTTCTTTTTATTTTACTACAAATATTGCGTAATTTTGTAATTGCCGTACTTGAGTCAGAAATATTTGGTACATATTCTTCAACTTTCTCTTCTTCGTCTTCACATTGCTGTTCTTGTTCTTGACTATCAGTTTCAATATTTAACGCTAAGTTATTCAATAAATCTTGTACGCCCAGGTTCAAGATGTGAGCAATGCATCGAAAATGTTGATTATCCGAATCAAAATGTGGCAGTAGTTTTCCAAGTTCATACATGAATTTGGTATTTGCAGTTGCGTTGTCGACTGTGATACCCTGAATTTTATCAGCTAAGGTATATTCTAATAGACATTTGTGGAAAATCCTTGCAATATCCATCCCAGTATGTCCACCACTCGATGGAATAAAATCCAAGACTAGAGATCGATACTTCCATTCATTATCTATATAATGAATAGTGACCCCATAGTATCTCCTACCAGTAATTGACGTCCATCCATCAATAGTGAATGACATTTTACATGAGTATTTTTGTAGTCTACTCTTAACACGCGTATGCTGTACTTCAAACCGCTCTTGAACCATCCTTCGAACTGTCGATCTCTTAGAAAATACCATATTTGGGCATATTATTTGAAAATATTTTTGTGTATCTTCGTCATCGAAAAACGAGAAGGGAAGATATTTCTTGGCAATCCAGTCAACTGTAACTGTCATAAAATCACTATGGCTTTCAGATACTGACTGAAACAAGACAACAAAACGTGTTAATACTTAATATAACATTTTACAAACACTACCTACTTACGAACCTACTAATTACATTGAATTTTTAACTATATTAAACAAACAAAAAATTGCCTTGACCGGTAATCAAACCCAGAACTTCAATAGGCAAAAAACATGTTGAGGTGACCGCCGAACTTGTCGAAACTTTTCTACCAATCTTATTATGTGCCCTACTAACTTAACTCAATAAATAAGTACGTACCTGATGAAGTATTTTGGTGACAAGATTATTTTTACAAGTTTCTATTTAAAAAATATAGCCGCCAAATACACAAACAAAAAACAAAACTTGGATTAGTACCTATAAAAATAATTTAAATTCTAATTTCACACACAACATATCTCGCTTTTTAAAATTGTATCTTAGTAAGTGCATTTCGCAAAAATAATAAATTGGTTAGAAACTAAAGAAAGCTATTTTCTTACTAAAAGTTGGATATTTACTGAGTTTTAATTTACTCAAACTTTGTAGGTATAGCCTAGAGAAATCGTTTTAAGAATTCCAATGTAATCGGTTTGTTTACTTCTCATGAAAAAACGATTGACACTAACTATAAGTATGTAAATTATAAGAAATATTAAGGAGGTGTTATGTTAAATATTATCTTACCTGTTCACTCCTTCCAGTGGTATTAAAAAAAACTAGAAATATCTCTAATTGTTGTCGGTTTTCTTATAGGTATAAGTTTTTGCGATTCCTTTTCGTGACAAGACAGTAGATGCTTCCTTAAACCTGAAGTGTTTCTGTTTTTCATTTTTATTTCAACTTTCTTTTTAGAAATTGGGCACAACTTGCAGAGAGCCATTTCAGATTCAGGAATTATTTCGAAATACTCATCAAATTTGATTTTAGAGCACCTAGATGCAACACAACTCTCACTACTCTGACTAGAATCTTCGTCGCTCATGTCAAAAATAATTACTGGTCCGACTCGTAACGAAGCTTAATTGCAAATAAACAAATTTCATATAAAATTTCCTATTTATAGGCACATGCCGAAAAATTGGTAAAAAAAAGTTCGGCACCTTTGATAAAAATAATGATTCATTTGAAGATTAAAAACAGAAGAGATTTTTTTGCAAGTTGTTATACCTACGTAACAATTCAAGACACTTTACCAAAATGTACATAAATCATTACGTGTACTGTATGCCTCTTTTGATTGAAAATATACACTTACTCTGTGTCTTATACAAGACACGCTACAGAAATCCGGCTGTAAAGTAACGCCTCACCCTGGAAAGGATACCAAGCTTCCTTGCTGCATTTTTGACCTTGGATTCAATGTATCTGCCGAAGTTCAGATTCGACGACAGGTTGATTTCAAGTAGCTGGAGATAGTCGGCTACCGATATGGATATATCACGAAAAGTCGGAGACAGCTCAAAGGGACTCCGTTTTGTGGAAAACAGACACGCCTGCGTTTTGGTAGCACTAAAGTTGAGAAGATTGGCATTGCCTCAATCAGAGACTGCTGGGAGAGTCAAATCTAAACGGCTAACCATGGACTCTCGACAAGACTGGATTTCCTCTCCACTGACCATTGCATTGGTCAAGTACCTATCTACAACTGTGCTGTCATCATCATACACAAAGGTACCTGGAATTAACATATCATTGATATGCAGCAGCAAAAGACTTGCAGACAGTACGGAACTCTGAGGAATTCTCAGCGGCGGAACATATGGCGGCAATCTATCGCCATATGTTTAGAAGCATAGGCTTCTAAGACCACCACTCGAATCGAACGTTCCTTCAAGAAATCCGAGATCTAATTATGTCTGTCTGTAGATCTGGAAATTGATGCGACTATTAAGGCTTGATTCATATGAATCAATCATCAATCGGCGAAATCGCCGAGACGCAACGCAACGCGACGTGACGCGGCGCGTAGCTACATTGTAGCGTGCAGTGCAACATTCACTTTATCCTCTACAAAATAAGGCAACATTTCATTTAACAAAAAAATGAAAACGGGCTGCAGCAAGCGGCGACGGGCTGCAGCGAGCTGCGACAGGCGCACTTTAGAAAATGCAGTATACTATAGAACATATTCCCTATTAAATAAAGTACACATTTCTTCAAACAACAAAAAACAAAAGAGTGAAACCGCGCAGCGTCGTCGCTGTCCGACTTCGCCTACTTGTCTCTGCTCTGACAATACAAAGTGTAACTTAGCGGCTTTGAAAGGCTTATCAGTTGATCAAGGGTGGTCGTGTTTATGCAATTTGTAGATTTTACATGCAATTAATAATAGTCCAAATAAGATGGTCTTATTATAATAGTCCAAATAAGATGGTCTCAGTGGCTCAACGGTTTGCACTGTCGGTACTGCATGAGAAGGTTCCGGGTTCGATTCCCGTACAACCAATTTGGGAAATAAACTATTCTAAAGTGTTTTCGGCCTAGGTGTTCTGGGTAGTGACGCGGAGCGAGTTTCGTAGCTCTTAAGTTCTGGGTTCGATTCCCAGTAGAACCAATTTAGGAAATTAACTTTTCTGAAGTGTTTTTAGCCTAGTTATTTTGGTAATACCCCTGATTGGGTTCCGTTGTTCTTGTGCTCATAAGGAGTACAGACTGTACAGAGTACAGAGTTCCCTTGTTTGAGACCAGCATGCGTAGCATGACGGTATATCGCATACGATATGTGATAAGCCTCCCTCTGATTTATGTATACAATGCAGTTGATACAGCGGTTTATTTATTTCGAGTAGTTCTATGTACTCAGTTCCACCTGGAACAATTGGAACTCAAAAGTTCCAAAAGCTATATTGTCATTGTTAAAATGTTATTTCTTTATTGTGAGTCGGTAAGATAAAGCCATTCGTTCTTTAGATTACTTGATAATGAACGCTTGCTATACATTTTTCAGAACAAGGATAGCGGTATGAAATTGATATGGCTAACTTTGTGTTTCATCGTTGTGAAATTTCATCATCGAAAATTATAATCCTTTTAATTGCATTGTTGTAAAACGACGAAACAAAATTGTTCATTATCAAAGAAACAAAAGAATAAATGATACTTCTGTGGTATCTTACCGATTCAGTATTCGCAATACAAAATAAAATGTTAATAATGCAACATTGCTTCATCGAGTGCAATAAATGTTACGGGGAGGTTTATCACATATTGCATGCGATATGCTGCCATACTACGCATGCTGTTTCTTTTTATTTCGTTTATCGCGCTCAATTTTTATGTTTATAAAATTACCGTGTAGTACTGTCAAAATGTTTTAAAATCAGCTGTGACCATGTTTGACACTGCGTTATTCTTTCGCGGCTCATGATCGAGGCCCGCGCGATGCGTCAAAAATCATCGTCGTCGACGTCACGGTGCTCGCCAGATTCGCTGTCGTGAAAAATTAAAAATGGCAGTTTTATCTATTTATTTTGACAATTCAATATAGCTATAATAGGTTTTGTCAGTAGTTTATATGGGGGCCGTCTTAGAAGTGGTGTACCTTACGTGAAATTTCCAATGTGGAAAAATTTAATATGATTTTACGAAAAATCTCCAACGAGAGGAAGAGGAAAACATATGTAAGGTCGTAATTTTGATTTATATTAGTTATTTTATTTCTTGTGCACGTGAAAAAAGCAAGAAAGAATATGTATTGCATTGCTGCGCAAAAGTTTACGGGGTTGAATGATGTAATTTTTATGTATTAATTTCTAAACCAATTTGAAGCGACCAGCGTAATAAATAACTAGTCAGATGGGCAAAAGAGATATGTGATTGCATTGTATCTGGAGGGGCCAGCTCTCTAATGGTACAAAACGTATTTTTCTTCATACGCGACGTATGGTATGATTGCATAAAGGCTTAAGGAGGAATTTCCCTCACAAATAGACTATGCCCGAGAGTTTTATTATAGGCGCCAGGGGCCTAACGAATCGCTGACAAGTTATTTTTATAATTTAGATAAGTTAGCGACGAAAGCGAAGATTCAAGATGTTCAGTTTATTAGATATTTCTTGAAGTCTTTGATACCCAGTTTTCAATGGATGCTGGCTAGTAATTTGTATTTGTCGAAAGAGGAGTTGAGAAAAACAATTATGCAAGTAGAAGATATATTTAGTCACGGTTACGAGTGGATCGACAAAATATTGAATTGCCAGTATATTTTCATAAGGAGCAGTCTCACTGTTGGCAAACACAGGGTGACTCTACACCGATAGTTGGACCCGAGTCTAAACAATCGGAATATCAACTGCCACGGGCACCAATCGTGCAGCAGGAAACGTCACGACAAGTGTATTCACGGGCACTTAGTAGTGGATCTTCATCGGGATTTCCTCAACGTGGATGTCAGCAAAGCGCGGCTGAACATTTAGGAAATTTAAATACAATTGATAGTTTTAGTGTAAATAGGGCACCTTTTGTATCTGTTTTTGTTAACAATGTAAGGTGCGAGGCCTTGGTGGATACTAGTGCTTCGTTTTCAATAATCTCTCGTTGTTTTGCAGAAAGGTTACATTTGCAGATTGATGATACTCAAGAGTTTTCCATTGCGTACAATGCCAATAAAAGTGCGGGCGTCTACCAAAGTGTCGTTGACAATTAATGGAAATAAATACCTATC